TGCGAGGGCATTGCATCCAGTAAAGACTCAACTTATTTAAAGTCCCTCGAGGTGGGTAAGGACCCCATCTCGGGAGAGCGGAAGGGTGACCAACGTCCTCTCTTGCCCTCAAAAGATGCATCCTTCTGGCTTCGTCTGAGGTAGCTTGAGCCCGCTCTCGCTCGCTCAAGTCCTTTTCTTTCTCTGTAATCGTAGTGTTGTGTGTGCTCGTCCTTTTTCCTGCTCGTCCCCTCTGCCTGTCCGCTGCTTTGTGCCCTCTTCTCGATGTGGTCGTGCCTCCTCCTCCTCCTCCTCCTCCTCCTCCTCCTCCTCCTCCTCCTCCTCCTCCTCCTCCTCCTCCTCCTCCTCCTCCTCCTTCAGGCACTGGCTGACGAGGGCCCCGAAGAGGTCGCGTTGCTGGAACCTGCGGGGCGCGCGCAGCGATGCCAGCATCTCCGTGGACCGCTCGCGGTCCTCGAGGCGCCCGAACCTGATCCTCTGCCTGCCGCGGGGCGTCATGCTCCGCGACATCCCCGTGGCGTCGCAGCCGAGCTCGGCGAAGGCCTGGGCGTCGACGTGGGCCGACCGCTGAGCTCGCGTTCGAGGGCCCCGTCGAGAGCATGGAGGCCCGCAGCCCCCTTTGCCCAGCTGGTCCTCGCCACGGGATCCGCCTCCCCGGAGCTCGAGGCGGTCTCGCCGTAGAGCAGGTCGCCCAAGGTGGGAACGTTGTCCTTCGAGTTCCCGGGGCCACCCACCTTCTCCAGCGCCCGCAGCATCGCCAGCTGGATGGTTCGGCCCGCGTCGTGGCCGCCTGCCTCGACGAACGAAGTCGTCATTCCTCCCCGGGGCAACGCGCGAATATTGCTCGCGCGGCCGCGGCCCCTCGGGCTTCTGCAGCAGCCCGCGCGCCGTGGTCAAGGCCTCCTCCCCCGCTCTGTTCCGCGCTGGCGCTGGGCCTGGCCGCGGCCCAGGCAACTGCGCTGCCGTCCTGGGCTGGCCCCCTGGCGAGCTACGAAACGGGTCTCGGCTCGGGGCGAAGGGCGCCGGCGCCAGCACTTCCAGGGGGGCCCAGGCTGGAGGTGCGACCCCTGAACGTCGGGCGGCGCCCCAGCGTGCGCCAGGCCGCGGGCCTCCTCGCCCCCCCAATGGACCTGCTCGATCGTGTTCGAAACTTCCCGCAGCTGGCCTCCAATCGCGCCCAGCAGCTCCATCCTTCTTGAAGCTGCCGAAGGCGGCCTGGAGGTCGCCCTAAGAGAGGGCCATTCGGCGCGGCGTCGCGGCCCTCCCGGGGGCGGCGCCCGCCGGAGCCTACCTCGACCCGCCGCCGCCTTTCATTGGCGGGGCGGCGCGGCCAAGCCTCTCTCGCTCGGGGCGACCAACGGGAGCTCACCTGGCCAGGCAGCGGGGCTCGCCCACTGGCCATCGGTCTGCCGAGCCCCGTCAGCAGCCACTCGCCCTCCGCTCCGTGGACCCCGCCACGCGGGCGCCACGCGGACGTCATGCCCATTCCTGCGCGACAGCCTCGCGGGCGGCGTCGAGCTCGCCGTCGCCGACGTCCTCGCCGACGTGCTTGTCGGCGGTGAGGTACATGTCTCCCTCGATCTGGCCGTCGACGCACAGCCGGAAAACAACGCGCCTAGGGTTGCCGACGCCCGACGGATCGGGAAACAGGACGGCCTTCAGCAAAATGCCGACGTTCCAATCCTCGGGTGGCGGGGCGAGCTCGGCGAGCTCGAGATGGTTGGGCTGAGCGAGGCCACCCGCCGAATCGAAAAACTCCACGACCTCGTCCTCCGCGCAGCTCTCGGTCAACTTGGACGGGGGCGCGGGCGAGACGCTCATGCAGGCGACTTCAGCGGGCATCTCCTCGCCAAGGCCGGAGGGCAAAGTCACCGAGACATAGTCCACCAATTCGAGAGACCCCGCATGGAGGGCAGAATCGCGGGCACGAATATCAAGAGTTCCTCCAGCTCCAGGTCCCGGAGGTCGGACTCGGCGATCGATGGGGCCGTCGAGCTTCACAAACTTAGCGCCGACGACGCGAGGCTAACACCGTCCGGGGCCTTCTGAGGCCCGAGCGCCAACCATCGGCAGCTCGAGCAGCCAAGACCTCTACATCACATCGCTCGTCTGCTGCAACGAGCCAGGCGGCAGCATCGTCATCACGCTCTCGTCCAGTCGAAGACCCTGACGGTGGCTGTGGCCCCCGCGGTCCTCCGCTCGGCGAAGAACCTGTTGATGCCCTCCTCGAGCGTCTGGAAACGACGCGGGCGGTCACGCCCACTGACGTACTTGCCACCACCCAGCCTGGAGGCGATCGCCTGCCACACGACCGCGCTCCCATTGTCGATGCCCACGAGGTCCTCACTCGAGTCTGGCACTCCCAGACGGCGTAGCAGTGGAGCCCTGACGCCCGCGCAGAACGCCACGAGGCAGCTGGGGCTGCCGGCGGCCCAGCCGCTGCCGCCCCCCCGGACGGCCTGCAAGGGGTAGTCGGGGGCGGCTCCAGCTCGGTCTGACTCTCGGCCCTGCCGCCGCCGTGCAGCGCGTCCGCCGCGCCGACAGGCCGCGCGGCCTCTGCGCCTGCCGCCGCCTGGGAGGCGGCCTCCCCGCCCGGGGGCCCAGGCCTGGAGTAGGCCTCGAACACTGGGGCAGACACGTGGGAGGCCCGCGCTCGTTCCGCGGGCCCACAACGCATCCACGCGCGAGGTCGCCCAGCGCCTGCGCGGGGCGGGCTCGGTCCCAGGAAGCTGCAGATTACATTCCCTGCTTCCATCATAACCGCTGTGCGCCCATCATGATCACCGTTACCATCGCCGTCGCCATCACCACCACCACCATCTCCATCATACAGAATCATCAGCATAATTAGCATCATCGCCATCATAATCACAAGCATCAACATTCTTATCATCATCATCATCATCATCATCATCATCATCATCATCATCATCATCATCATCATCATCATCATCATCATCATCACCATCATCATCATCATCACCACCACCACCACCACCACCATCATCATCATCATCATCAGAATCATCATCAGCATCAGCATCATCATCATCATCATCATCATCATCATCATCGTCATCATCATCATCATCATCATCATCATCATCATCATCATCATCATCATCGTCATCATCATCATAATCATCATCATCAGCAGCAGCAGCATCAGCATCATCATCAGCAGCATCATCACCACCACCACCGCCACCACCATCATCAGCATCATCATCATCATCATCACCACCACCATCATCAGCGTCTGCATCATCATCAGCATCAAACTCATCGTATTCATCATCGTCATCATCATACTCGTCAGCATCATCCTCATCATCACCATCATCGTCGTCATCAAAATCATCATCAGCAGCATCTTCAGCAGCATCATCATCATCGTCATCAGCATCACCATCATCACAATCAGCAACATCATCGTCATAAGCATCATCATCAGCATCATCAAAATCCTTATCAACAGCAGCAGCATCAGCATCAGCATCAGTCTCGCCCATCATAATCAGCATCACGTATACTAATCATCATAATCGTACTGCTGATCCGATCTGATCAGCATACGCATCATCATGCTGATACGCAATACCATACTCCGACCCATGCTCATACGTATACGCATACCCATACTCATCTTCATATGTGTGGTCATACTCATACACACATTCATACTCATAAACAAAGCACTAAGCATCATCATGCTCCTCCCTCTCCTCTGTGCACAAGGCCCAACTCGCCCTTTGTTCCACAAACGATGGGCCAAATGCCCTTTGGCGACCCAGGTCTTCTACTACACCCCACTCGATTAAAAGGACAACGATACAACGCAATGACAGGGGATGCGTGATAGAGTTTGGATGCCAGATTTGGCGCGAGCGCGCCTGACTTGCCCCTCCCCCTCCCCTTCCCTCCACTATCCCATACTCCTCGTCACCTCTCTCCTCTCCCTTCTCACCCCCTGCCCTACCACACTCCACTCTCTCCACTCCCCGAACGCCTGCTTGCGAAGGGCCACTGGACGCGCGTGAGCCGTGGTCGTCGGCCCTGGCGCGAACGTGCGCAACGCGTGGCGCGCATGTCTTAATGATCATGCGGCAGCAGCTCTTCGCTCCTGCGCAGGGTATGTAAAGCCCTGGACACCCAGAGTTAGCCATCAGCTGGAAATTACCGAATCAATCAGTCGGCCACAACTTTCTCGTGGTGGTGCCTGGTCGATCCACGATTGGCCCGACCCACGTGCCCATCCACTGCTAGCCAGGCTGACACGTCCCGCGTTTATCCACCATCGCCAACCCCTGCGCTACTCCTCCCACCACTGCTGTTCTGGAAGGCGCCCTTGCACGGGCTACCCACTCCTACTTCTCAACCTGACCCTCCTCTTCCTCCTCCTGCTCCTCCTCCTCCTCTTCCCGCTGATCCTCGCCCCCCGCGCTCTTCATTTTCCTCCTCTCCTGGGGCACCTCAAGAGTGAGGCCACGGCTGCCTTGCGGCACGCCCAAGTTTACCGCGCGGGCACCCTGGCCCCAATGCTGCTGGGTGGGGCTGGACCCCGCCGAGACAGACCATAGAGCTGAAGCAGCACAACACACACACACATACACCCCTACACACACAATTGTAAAGTTGCCCGTCGCCCGCAAGCCACCCCAAAGAGCTGCTGCGTCAGCCCCAGCTGCCAGCCAGGCACTGTGATGGGTGCCTGGACCAGGTCCCGCCTGCCACCCGTCTCGGGACGGCATTTCTCATCATGCCTGCATGTTGCCGCGAGCGGTGCCGGATGATGCGTACACGCTTTGCGTCGCAGCGCGGCAGAGGCAGTCCGCACGCGCGCTCGGGCAAGCCGAGTGACGGCATTGCGAATTGTCTGGATGCAAGAGTAGAGGACGGGGAAGAGAGGGAAGCGTACACGCGCACGTGTGCATGCGAATTGTGTAAGGGGCCCGTGGGGTGCACTTGCTCTGGATAAGAGAAACGCAACAGAAGCGCCA